TGTGGTAATGCTCTGTGTTTTCTTGAGGTTGGACTTTTTAGATTCCACATTTCAAGACTGTGCAGAGTTTGTTTGTCTCTGCCTGGCTTACTTCACGTCACATAATATCCTGCAGTTTCTGATGATATGACTCCATCCACTCTGTGGCCGCACAGGACCTACCCAAGGCCTTCTGCCGTAATTTCTCAGTGCATGCATCCGTGGCTGGACACCAAGTGTGGGTCCACACCTTGGCTGCTGTGAACAGTGCCTCATAAACTGAGAGTGGGGGTGTCTCGTCAGCCCTTTCATTTCTTTTCCTCTGGGCGCACACCCGGTTGTCGGATGGAGCTAAGCTTTGAAATATTTTGGGGATCCTCCCTAGTGTCATCAGTAGCATTTGTACTAGTTTATATTCCAAAGAACAATATATGAAAACTCACCCCGCCTTGCACATCTTCTCCAATATTCATTGTTGTGTTTTTGATTGGTTTTGTTTTTGTTTACATTTCATATTGTTATCTTCAAAGTAGTTTCTCAGAGTACAAGACACAGACATAAAAAAATCCTGTTCCTCAGGATTTTTTTGAATTTCTGATAACATTCATTCTGATTGGGCTAGAGCTCTATTACACTGGTGCCATGATTTTTATTTTTCTGATAATAAGCCATATTGAACACATCTTGAAACACAGATCCCCTGAGCACTGCTTTAACATTATCACATAAATTTTGATATATTGCTTCTTCATTTCTGTTCATTGCATGCTACCTTACAATTTCTGGCTTGAGATATTCTTTAAAATTGTGTTATTTAATTTCCAAGCATTTATGGACTTATTTTATATTTCCATTTTGACTCTGAAATGCAACTGTTATGTTATTTGAATCCTTTCTCCAATTTATTGATACATCTCATAGGACCTAGAGTTTGGTTTGTAGTGATAAAAGCTCCATCCATGCCTAAGACGAATGTTTATCCTGCTCTTTGGGTGTGGAGCGGTTACCAGATGTCATTTGTGTCTGATTGATTGTGTTGCTCAACTTTTCTACACTTTGCTTATTTTCATTCAACTAGTAAAAGAGGAGCATAGTTTTCTCCCTCTCTTTTGCTCTCCCTCTCTCTCTCCCTTTGATTTGTACATAGACCTAATTTTGACCGAAGGGATCATTGAGTTTGAATTTCTTGAGGATCACAGGGTGACTTCAGAAAGCTCTCTAGTCACAGATTCCAGGTTTGTTGGGCCCAAATTTCCGGACTTCTGGCTGATCTGTTAACTCCACGCTGATGTGTGTCAGCCTTTCCTGTCTTAATTTTCTTCCTGACCGTAAAGTACAATTGAAATAAAAAAATTACATCACATACTCATGCCATTCAATAGTTTTAGATTAGTATTCTTAATTATGAAAACGAATGAGGAAAATATTTTATACTTAACTAAGTGACATAATTATTTAATTTGATTTTTACTTATAAGATCTATAATTGCTCCCTTCACAGTTAATTATCCATAGCTGAAAAAAAAAAAAAAAAAAAAAAAACGGAATCCTACCTCATCACCAAGTTGCAAAAACCTCACTTATTAGTAATCATTTATTTTAGTAATAATTACCAAATTAAACATGTCAGCTCTTAAGAGATTACACAAGGTTTCAGTAAGCCTGTTTTTCCCTCTTCTGCCTTTAAAGGAGGGTGAGCTGGAGTTCCATCCACAGGGCTCATTCCCAAGGGTGCTGTATCCCAGGGGACGTCAGCTGTGCATCAGAATTACTCAGCAGCCCATGTCTGGACAGAGCAGTGTTCTTCTGGAGCCATCAAGGAAGGAATCTCCCCAACATCTCCAAAGAAGGAAGAGCTGTCTGGTCTTCCTAGTGAAATACTTGTATTTAAGTGTCACATGAGAATACTTATAAACATTAACCAGTGTGTCTGTATACATGTAAAGGCACAGGAAACATGCAATGCTCATAGAACTCTCAAGCACCCTAAATTCTGGAACCAAGTGAGAAGTACAAGTGACCACAGGCACAGGGGAGAGGGTGAGGATGTTAACCCAGACAGAGCCAAGTGAAGCCCTCTGCAGCCCAGATCCACCCGGTGTATCCCTGTCTGTGCCTTAATGTGAAGCTTAATGTGAAGTAGTAGGACCAACACACAAGTCCCAGTATCCCAGGGCTTTCTAGACTCCGAGGTCATCATCTTGTTAAGAAGCCTTGTAGGTTGGAGCTTCAGCACTGTGAGGGAAATCAAGCAATTCTACGTCCTGAGTGACACTCAGCCTTGAGTTCAAGAAAATTAAGGACAGTATTTGCCTCTTAAAAGTCAAGTTTGTCCCAGAGTCTTTTTGGTAAGACGGGAAAAGAAGATACACATTGAACATGTGAGAAAAGCCATATCCAGCTTCAGAGGGAGACCCATTCACCAGGCCTCCTAAACAAATCAAAACTCCATCACCCCACGGGCCCTTGTCTTTCCTGACTTCCAGGATGTGGTCAGAGCTTACTGAGCTTTATAAATTAGGGACACTCTAAGCATTCTACCTGTCCAGGTGGGTCTTTGGAAAGAATCTGGAATTCCCCTTGTGGTGCTTAGAGACACAGATTCTTAAGAACTATGGTAAAAACTATGGTAAAACCCAAGCTTGGACCTTCACTTCCTGTGTGACCCTTTAGGATTGACCTCCATATTGTGCTGTTTATCCAAAGATGGAGAAAAATTGCCATTTCTTCCTTAGCAGCTCATGGAAAGACTGGGCTAAGAGAAGCTATGCCAAACCCCTTCCAAGGGCTCGACACAAACACTCATGACAATAGTATCCTTTCCTGTTATTTTTCTCAAACCAAACTGCAGACAAGGCACTTTGAAATAGGGTCTCACTGTGTTTCCTAAGTTGACCTTGAAGTATCAAGGAATCCTGCTTTAGACCCCTAAATAGCTCAGATTACAACCAGGAGCCTGGCTGATATTATTTTATTATACTGACCCTGGCTGGGTATTATTTTTATATCACCATAAACTTTTGAAATATGAAATATATGAAATACACAGGTATGTGTCATTTTACATTTGTCCAAATATACAGAAAATACAACACCAAGAACAAAACTCACTGTAGCTGTGGACCCGGGGTGACAAGGAAGTGTCAAAGAATGTTGATCATCCATGACGAATGGGAGGGTTGACAAGGGGGAGCACTGTGTGTGTGTGTGAGCACGGGGGCATGTGCTGGTGAGTCTTCAGTGCCAGCTTGGTTGGTCCATGGGATTCCTAGAGGGGTCACTGGGCTGTGAGGGCAGCAAACACACCACTGGTGAGTTCACAGCTGAGTGGGCCTCTAGGAGATGAGGTCTATTTGGAGAAAATGGGTCATAAGCTTTGAGTACGATCCCTGGCTCTTCTGCTGTGGCTCATTCCAGCCCATTCTGCTTCTGGCCTTCCTGAGGTGAGCAGCTTTCCCCCTCCATACTTTTCTACCATGGTGGCTCTGCCGTGGACACAGTGACCGTGGACGGAAACCTTCGAAGTCATGAGCCACACAGCAGCTTCACTCTTAGGTTGCGTTTGTCAGGCATTTTCTCCTGACCGTGAGGAAGCGGGCCAAGACGGTGCTGCTATGGGACATTTCCATACCTCTGCTTTACCTGTGAATCTAGAATTGCTCTTGGAAAAAGAATTCTAACACAATAAAACTAAGTAAGGAAAAAGCTACATAACTGATACGTAAAACTATTTTTGCTAAATGGCTCTAGGTAACCACCAACTTTCGTATCTAGATTGTCTGTACTTCCTGACAGCTAAGCAAGTTTGCAAACTATGACAAGAAACTGTGTCAGAGACAAGGAAAATCTGTGCTGCAGAAAACAGATTCAGACCTGAGGGTATGATGCTCCTTAAGGAAGGAAATGTGCAGTGAAAACAGGTAGTGGAATCTTAATCGTGTTTGAATTTCACATTGTCTGTGCTTGTCTGCTTACCTCCCTGATTCTGCATCCTCTGTTACATCTTCCCAAAGGAGCAGCCTGCACCCAGCACTGGCATGGCCTTTTACCTAGAGAAGGACTCCGTTGACTGTGATGGGATGTCACAGGTGACCTTCTAGCTGCCCAAGTGAGGCTGGAAATAATCCCCGTGGGACAGCGAGCTGTTGTTCTGTTCTATTCACTGCGTCAATACAGCCATTTCCGTGTGTGATTTAATACAAAGACTCCGGATACATGAGGATGTTTAGCTACCAGGTTACTCCTCCCGCAAGCTTATCACAACTTCATTGCCGGGAATGCTCTGTAATTTCCATCTTAATGTTCTGAATGATGGTCATGTCATCAGACGGAGAGCCCAGGGGTCTTCTGAGGCTGGTGCAGGTTAGTGTTTTGTCATTGCAGGAAAAGGTAATGCATAAAGTTGTGCAGGCTTCACTGCAGTGAGGTAAAATAAGGTGTGATCTGCCTTCGGGTCTGTTGGCCGAAGAATATCCTTGAAATACTCTGTTCATTCATTCACTGAGATTGGCACCCATCCTGTTTGGTGTCCTAGTCCAGGAGATTTTCTACAATGGAATGTGGATAGAACAAGCTTAAATTAAAACTGTGATTTGCTGTCTGTTTGATATGCAGATTTACCGGCATGCTGTTTGTGTGTCCATTCTGCAAGCCTAGTATTCAGTATGCGTGAGATTTGCAAGATCCAGTCTCGTGCATGGTTATCACAAGGAAATGTAATGACTCTCTGACAGTGGGTCAGGACTCCACAAGAGGCGGCACCATGGCATGGATGTCTTAGCTATGGTACCTGGAGCCAGAGAAGTCATCTCTCCAAAGTTAACACACAAAGCTGAGCATAAAAGACAGTGAGAATTAGGCCAGGGGAGGGAAGCCAACATGTGTCTGTAGGCAGAGGGGACAGAATGTGGGTCACCTCTTTGGGTGATCCACTCTTCCCGTGGTTTCTGCAGCATTTCCTGTGACTCATTAACTTAGTTAGTTTTTACTCGTCACTGAGACAAAATACCCACTGCCCAAAGTTAGGAAAGGAAAGGTTTATTTCTTACAGCTTCTGGAGGTTTCAGCCATATTCAGTTGGCTACAAGGCAGGGTGGCATGGCTGGGTCATAGGTCATGGTGGCTGCAAACAGCAAGGAGGAAACAGGCAAAAGAGAGCAAGACACAACTTGTTCCTGCTATTACATCCTGGCTCCACCCCTAGGCCAGAGTAGCACTCACACCCCCAATACAAGCCCTAGACAATGAACCAATCACAAATGCATAATGCAAATGCATGAGGCCTGAGGGCCACCAACATAAACCATGATGCTCATCTACCCCTTCCCATACTTGCACTTTCTTAGGTGTGCATTCGGGTGTCTGAAGGTCTTTCACCACAGCCACTGGGTGCAAAATATCCTCACAATACCTGCTTCCCCTCCACAGTAGGAATTCTTTGCCCACTGTCTTGAATGGACTCAGTGCAGAAGTGACTGCTTACCAAACACTGGAGAGCAGAAGTGGAGATGGTTACTCGCTTCTCTTCTGTTTACTGTCAGCTGATTGGAATCAGCCGAATTAGAGGAACAGACAGCAAGATCCCATTTCTTAATGATGGGGCACAAACAGGGAGGGTTAGAAGATATTTAGGTAGTAGATGTCTAGGGGCTCTTCGAGCAGGATCAAAACCTTGATGTACATAGACTGCAGTGCAGATCTGAGAGGAGAATAAGACACTCCAGAGAGGAGATGTAGGGAAGCTGAGAGGGCTGACGAGGAGCCCGTGCCCACAGGCAGACCAATGACAGGGTTTGGCTGCAGAAATCCAAGCAGAAGTTTGCTGAGAGAACCATAGTGTGAAATAGGTCCTCCTTGGAATATTATTCTAATGCAGATGCTTTCACACTACAAAATCTTGTGTGTCATGATAAGCATAGCAGATGCTGGATAAATGTTTGCTATGTAGTTACACAAATGAGGCAGAATCACAAGAAATGGGGTTTGGTGTTTTGCCAGGGCCAAAGTGCAGTTTTCCTGGCTCACCAGGCAGTCTTGTTGCCAAGTTCCTTAGCAGACCCAGCAACCTGTCAGTCAGTGTTGTGACATCACGGTGGGCAAAAGAACTTTATTTCTGCAGTGCGTCGAAAATTTATGTGAGGACTGTTCACAAGTTCTGAAGTTACGCTGGTGCTGAAGTGTGCAGGTGGCCCACTTGCAAAACATTTCTTTCTGTTTGTGTAACTTTAACTGTTGGATTCTATATGGAAAACAGCTCACAATCCATTCCCACCCACACAGTTTTATTGTAAGGAACTGAAGAGTGTCATTATTTTATACCAAAGTTTCTACTGCTGGAAATCTTCCCAGTGGCCACTCTTTGGCTGTCTGTGGTATAGTGTGTATGTGTCCAGGACCTGAGTGGAGTCTGTGGGTTATTCTGACTTAATAAGCAAATGAGTATTGGTTCTCAGAGCTCATACATGCCTAGAAATTGAGCAATCATTCTCCCTGCATGTGATCTACTCTGACCTCTTCCCACCTGTCCATTCAAATAGAGGCTAAATGAGAGGCTAAACAACATTTTGAAAAACATTGATTAGTAGTTTCCAAAGGTCTTAGAACTTACAGGATACATCCAGGAACACATCCTGTGGAGGGGCCAGAGAGAGGGAAGAGTGCAGGCCCCACAACAAGGTAGTCATGGTTCACTGAGTTTCTCAGGATATGGAGCAGCGTTCACGCGGTACTTTCATCACCGTATTCGTGACTCTTTCCAAAGTTTCCACCCAAAGAATCACCCTCATTTTCTAAAAAGCAACCAATAAAATAAAAACCACCTTACGGGGCTGGGGATTTAGTTCAGTGGCATAAGCGCCTGCCTTGCAATCAGGCAGTCGTGATTTCGGTCCCTGGTACCAATAAAAAAATGAAAAAGATGCCAAAAAAAAAAAAAAAACACCACCTTACACATTTGCACAATTGTCTAATACTACTGACATCATTTTATCTTGATAATGGGAGAGATGGACACTGAGGAATGTGAGACTGAATGAATGTATGCTGAAGTGGGAAGGTTTGAAAGAGGATGACGATACTGCAAGTCTTCCCTTTCCAGATCTTTCTGTTTTGACTTCCTGTTGAGGTTCTGTTTTTCTGGTGCTTTACTAGTGAATTTTGATAAAGAATGGGTAGAAACGTGGAGGGAATCAGCCTGCTATTTCTCTTTTCTGCAGTGGTGAGATACAGCTCTGGCTGTGCATCACATTCTCTGCATCTGAGGTGGGGAGAATAGCTGCCAGGATCTCACAGGGGACGCAGTAAGAACATTGTCTGGTGGGCTTCGACCCGAAACCAAACAGCAAGGATGGATATGTGAGCTTTCTGTCTGAAGGAACCCTTTGTGTGGATAAATCTGTATATATATGAAAAAAGGAAAAAAGACCATTACCATCTGAGGTTGAATTTGAATTCTTGCATAGGCCTTAGACAAACTTTCAAGAGTGCAAGAAGTCTTCACCAAGTGACAGCTGGTATATGCTATCCAGAATCTGTTAATAACTCACCATTAGCTGGTTCCAGAGGTGGTGCTGAAACTGGTCATCTGGATGATACAATGGTGATGCAGTGCAAAGGATTCCTGGTATGGTTATTCGTTGCCATTCACCACTGTTGGTTGTGAGAGAATCAGAGGTTAGTTCATTTTCTATTGCTGTAACACTACATCTGAGGCTGGGGAATTCACAAAGAACAGAAAGTTTGCTTGCTCACACTTTTGAAGACATGAGGGCAGATCCCTGGTATGTTTGGCTGTAGTGAAGGCTTCCAGCCTCCATCACAATATGCTGAGCAGCATCACGGTACGAGCACATGAGTGAGGAGACATCACACAGTGAGAAGGAAGCAAGAGGTGCTCAGGGCCAGGTCTGCTGCCAGGGAACAGAGCAGGCCTGCCCCAAGGAGGTGTACTCATCCCTCCTGGGGACAACAGTAACTCCATCACCTAATCAGGGTCCACCAGGTCCCACCTCTAGGGGGTTCTGCCCTCTCTCAGTGGTGCCAACAAGAGGACTCATTCCCTTGGGGAACCTTGGAGGAAACCGTGGAGCCACTTCTACATGGCACCGGCTCCATCTCACATGTCTGTGACTCAGTCATATGCAGAGGATCAGAGGAACAATGCACAGTGGTGGTCTTGGGCCATGTGTATGCTGGTGCATCTACTTGAAGGATTATTTCCTTCTGTTCTCCAGGACCTTTGACTTTTAGGTTTTTTTTAAAGGTTGGCTTCTATTTGGCCAAAACTACACAGTATAACAGGAACATAAGAAACCGGTTCCAAACTCATGGGAGCACAACAATGAGCCTGGTATTTATGATTTTGAGGTTGTTATGCTTGCGTATGTCTGAAACAAGTCACTGTAACAGAGGCATGTAAAAATGAAACAATGGTCGGTACACCTTCCTCATTTTTAATAAATGGAGAAGGCAAACCATATGGGTCTGGGCTTGGTTTCTTCACCCTATCAGAGCTGGAGCTCAAACTCCAATATTTCTCTTCCTCTAGCTTCATGTGCCATTCACTTTCTTTACAGGGACCTCCTTCACATGCCTTTCAACAGACTCACAGCCAGACCACAGGCTATTTAAAAAACAAGTTTTCATCTTGAAAAACAAATTTTCCTCTTGAAAAACAAACAAATAAAACCCCTCAAAACAACCCTGATATTTTATATTGTCTATATAATTTAATTGAAAATAACATTGCATTCTAAAAACATTGGCAGTGTGTCCATTTTTGTTTATACTGAGCCTTTTTTTGCACTGTCTATTGATCAAACATTACATCTTGCAGTTGTGTGGTGAAAGAGTTGGAGGTTCTACTGTAGAACTATGATCATGGTAGAGGTGGTTTTTGATCATGACATTTATTATACAGATTATACACACATCTACCAGATTTGACTGGGCTGGTTGATTATGGAAACTTCCCTCCTTATTATGATGACAGCTCCTCCCAGGGAAGATCCAAAGAAAAGCCACTCACAAAACCAGGACAATGGAAGGAGACTTATCAGGCCACCAGGCAGTTGACAAGACACCAAAATCTGTAAAGACCTGTGTTTCGGGCCTCTTCTGCCCAGTCAGTGAGCCCATGCTGAAATCTCCTGTGCCCTGGTCTGTGCTGGGTACTACAGAGACCTAGTCCTCAAATCTTGAAACACCTTGGTCCAGTAAAAGATCAGAGTTTATGACCACTGGTCATATGAAGAGTAGAAGAAGAAGCATCTGATTGAATAGCTGAGCGGTTAGCAGGCTGAAAACAGGAAGTAGTGTAGGCAAAACTTACCAACAGAATGGAACTAGGATGATGTAAGATGGCAAAGGTAGGAAGGCCCCAGGGCAGGCAGTGAGTGTGTGTGTGTGTGTGTGTGTGTGTGTGTGTGTGTGTGTGTGTGTGTGTGCATACCTGTGGGCGACAGTGAGAGTGTTCCAGCTCGAACAAGGCTAAGTGCAAATAGATATGTAAGGAGTAAATACATAGGTGATGGAATGCACTGTTATGTTTTTTCGAGGCATATGAGGCGATCAATTTCTCAAAAACTGTTCTCAGTTAGTGGACTTTTGTCTTTCACTCTGTTTTACCCCATCTATCTCAGGCAGACACTTCTCAAATAAAGCAAGTTAGAAACCTGCAGGTCCAAACGGTTCACAAACAAGTAAAGGAAATTGATAGCCTTAGGAACAGCTTCCTCTTAGCAGACCTAGCAAAGCCCCAAAGTGAGATTTCATTGGCTGACATACTTGCCCTTCATGCTTTCCCCATGAGGCGGATGCACCGATTGGTCTAGGCTTGAGTCAGGTAACTTCCCCGTGTCTGGGGTTAAAGTCAGTCTTGAAAAAACCGAATGCAATGAGGTGTGAATCACTGGAATGGGAGAAAGGAAAGTAACTCCATAAAATAAATGAAGTTCTGATACTGAAAGGAGGACGGATTATGGGAAGGCCCAAAACGGAACACGAATTTAGAATCACACAAAAGTAAATAAAGCACAGATTTCTATGGTACTATGTGATATGACGCTCTCCAGGGGTGACCTGCGGTGAGATTCCTCCTGAGAGGCAGCAGAGTGTGTGCCTGTGCCAGCCTGAGGGTGAACCAGAGAGCATGAACTGGAGACAGGCAAGTAGCTCTATACTCTGTGGCTGTGTGTCTGGTTCTCTGCTGTTTTATCTGTAAGGAAAATAAAGTACTGAAGCACTTACCAAAGCAATGCTGCATCCTTAGGAGGGAACAGTAGCTTGGCTCAGGAAAGCTTATTTTATTGCTCACCCATTGTTTTTACAAAGCTGTTGTCAATGGACAGAAGAAGGTGCAGATAAGTGCATGGTTGTTATTCATATAACAATTGAAAGATTCTTTAAAAATACTTATAAATCAGATATACAATTTTAAGTTCTAAGGACCTATTCACACTTGAAAAGAAAAAAACAATGACCAGCGACTCCTGAGATCTGCGCTATGTTGGAATTTAGGGTTCTGGGAAACCAAGAAACCAGCTTGGCTCCCTGGTAAGTGGCTGTGGTGTGGCAGGCTGTGGCTGCCCCAGGGGGAGAACCACCAGCAACTTCTGAGATCTACGCTATATTGGAACTTAGGGCACCAGGAAATCAAGTAATCAGCTCGCCCCCCTGGTAAATGGCTGTGGCTTGACAAGCTGTGGCCACTCTTGGGTAAGAACCACTAGCGACTCCTGATATGCATGCCATGTTAGATCTTAGTGTGCTGGAAAATCAAGTAACCAGCTCGCCTCCCTGCTAAGTGTTAGTGAGCCTGCCAGCACACGGGCTGAGAATCAAACATCCCACCCCCCCCCTTAGCAAATGGGAGATAGAGATGTGAGCATCCCTTGGGAGGTTGGCCATGTACAATACAGCAAATAAGAGGGATTTTCTTCTACCATATCTTTGAAGGCAAATATTTTTACCACTGTTTTGCTTGATTCTGATTACCAAATTCTTGATTCTTGGTGTGTGTTTGCAAGAAAGAGCTGCATTCATCTAGGGGACCTGACACATGTGTTTGTTCTTGAACCGTGGTCACTTTTACCTCCCCTTTTCCATCTCCCCTCCCAAACCTCCACAAACTCTATCTCCCTGTTCTCTATTACATATCTTTTATTTTGTTCTTTAAATTATTTCAAAATCATAACTAAACTTTTTGACAAAAAAAACCAAATAGATAGACAAACACATAGATACAGACAGACAGATATTATGTCTTTCAAGGGCTGGACCTCTTTGGTGTACATCATACTATAATGAAGCCTTAAAGAATTAAAATGAATACAATGTAGAAGACACATGAATGTGGGTAAATCCCTTCTTGATGGATGAGCCTCTCCTTTACCCTTTCCTTTCCCCAGGTTGACTCTCTGGGTGGCTGGAGCTGGCTGTTTCTCAGTGGATCCCTGGAGGCTGATCCCTGTACTTTGCTGGGGCTTCCAGCACAATAACCACCTGAATGCCTTGGAATGGCCCTCGGTACCCAGAAGAGCCTGCACTTTGCATGTGAGTCATGTTTGGAAAATGACTCTGTGGCAGCCGAATGAAGCCAAGAACCCAGGTCCTTGTTACTGCAGATGACCTTGGGAATGGTGATGGATTTGAATACATATCCATATTAGAGCACACATTTCCCTCATTTAAAAGCAGCCACAGTCTTAAAGTACAACAATCTTCCTATGTGACCAAGTCCGTCTCACAAGACTGCTCCCCCCGAAACATGCACCATACAGAAATGTGAGAGGAAACTTGGAGAAGTGTGAATAAGGTGGAGAATGGGAGGATTCCCATTCTGGTATTGTGTAATGGTTATGCACACTACCACCCCTGGAGAAGACCACTGTGGATCCCTTTTTATTTCTTACAAGTATACATGGATTCTTAGTTATCTCTGGAAGTTTGTTTTGGTCTTGTTTTTTGAAGAATGCACACTGGTCTGGACCATCCCTAATGGATACCAGACTTGATTAGAAGCATCAGGTCAAGAAGAGAGGAACTCACCTGAGAACAGTGAGTGAGAATCACCTGTGCACATCAGTGTGAAATTCATTCCTTGGTAAAATAACTCAGTGAAGAGAAATCTACACTTCGAGCCACAGATGAGCAAATGGCTGCAGTGTAGACAATAAGGTGTTGCTAGAACAAAACTCCAGCTCTGTTAAACCAGCAGCAGCTTTTTGGCTGGAGCAGATGGCCGTGAGTGTCCTCTGTAGTCCTCCCCACATGGACAGCCCTTCTCCCTACTGATAATTGTCTCTAACTGCAGGTCGAGGTCCTGCCAGCTGGTGAGCCCACATGCAGAGCTCCCCATCACATGCAGAGCACACATGTGATCCAACCCAGTCATCTTCTCAGCAGGAGTGTGTCTGCCCCTAATATACTTTAGTCAACAGGAGATGTCCCCTGTGGGTAACAGTTTGGGACTATTTGTTTTGCTCCAGGCATTAGAGGTGGGCCCTGTCCTCACCTCCCAGTGTCACTGTCTCACCAATCCTGTGAGATGGCTGAGGACATCCAGGCAGAGTGCTTATTACCTACTCCATGACAGAATTCCCCAGGAGCAGTTCTGGGCTTGGTGCACTGGCTGCACGACCTCAGAGCAGAGTGAATCACAACTGTGTTTTGCCGGCCTTGTTCACACGGGGCTTTCTAGGCTGCCACCTGCTGGTACCAAGCCTTTCCCCCTTCATACCATGTGCTAAGCCAGCACAGCCTGCAGTATGAAAAAGGTTGCATCTCAAGGGCAAGTGACAGTCATGGGCAGAGAAAGGGGAGCAAGCAGTGTTTTTCTGTGCCAGCCCCACTGCAGGCTGCAGAATGGGCATTCACCAGGCCAGCAGAAGTGCTGGGCTGATGCAGAGCATATCCCAGCACTCCTATCACTGAGTCACATCCCCACCGCTGTGCTGAGCCATATTTAGCCTCAGTGCACACTTAATGCCCCTAGACTGAGTTTAAGCCGTGTCCTTTCCATTATGGAGGTCACCGTCAGCAGGTGAGATGTCAGGACACTGCAGGTCCCTAAGGCACCTCTGATAGAGCCCGATTAGCTCTGGCCTCACTCATCCCACCACTCATGTATGACTCCCAGCTCCTTCTCAGGTTAATGAAGGTGTAGGAGCTTGACTTCCCCAGCAGCGTTTCCCCATGATTTGAGCTTTCTCACCCAATACTGAGTCAAATTTATGAAGTGCAAACTACAGACCCATCTGAAACTTCTGTGCTTTTGCTTTTATCTTTCACTGTGATGTGGTATTTGGATAACAGCAGGATCTAACCAGTTTGTTTCCCTCTTAAGGAACAAACTGTATAATTTCTAGTGTGCAAGAAGATTTGGGAACCTGTCTGTATTTCTACTCCCTGCAGCTTGGTGGTGCTTATTGTGTTTGGAGCCCCAGGGATCAGTACCTTGGAAAGCGACCCACAGTCCCTCTGATGCCTGCAACATGTGGAATAAAATTTTGGTTCTGTTGTCCATTTTCTGTTAGTTGGTTCTAAATACCCTGTAATACTTTTACCCTCTTGAATGATTTTATACTTTCTTGTTATGTTTGATCGTATACGAAGGCATACTCAAATATTTCAAGGAAAGGGACACTGATAACTATTGTTATGTCGTGTTTTCCTGTGGTGAAACATTATGTTGCTTAAATTGTTCTGTTCTGACTTGTGTTATGTCCTTTTTCATCTTAATCTCCCCTGTTTTTTATATGTGTATTTTTAAATAAAATAATTCAGTTCTCCCCACCCAGCCTCATCATAGCTTCTTATAGGAAACTCTCACTCTCTGTCTCTCTCTGTCTCTGTCTCTCTCTCTCTCTCTCTCTCTCTCTCTCTGTCTTTGTCTCTCTCTCTGTCTCTGTCTCTGTCTGTCTCTGTTTGTCTGTCTCTCTATCTCTCTCTCCTCAAACTTCATATGTTGATATCTTTCAAGCTTATGTTACACTACATTTGTTTTTCCTGAATTGAAGCTATAAAAACAAAAGGACTCAAGGTGCTAAAGGGTAAACTTACAGTTTCTTGTTGGAATTCAGCCTTTCTGAAAAATATTTCCACACTTCTGTGAAAGTACTTTGATCTCCAGGAGACAAGAAGAGACAGCAGGCCCTCAATTATAACATTTCAGGGTTGATTGAGAGCCGCAGCTCAGTCACTGATACAAAGACAGTGCCAGCAGAAACCTATTTTCCTCGGTGAGGGATGCTGGTCAGTGAGTGTGGCCTCAGAGGTTACAAAGCTCCTGCTAGCACTGACCTTGTGAGCTCCCACAGGGAAGAAATAAACCTGAGACACATGGTGGTATTGGATTGAGATTTCCCGAGGTGAGACAGAATTCTGCACTGTACAGGCAAGGCATGGACTTCTTTTCCTTGACTTTTTGTTATTTCCATTTCTCTTACATAGACTGCTTTGCTGTGGCCAAGCAACCACAGGGAAAGGGAAGAAAGGGTATTTCACAGTACCAGAAGAGCTCACAGTGAGACAGCAAGAAGAATCAACTGTTCAAACACTATGAGCAGGATTTGCAATGAAAGAAAGGCACCCAGGGGAACCTCGCGGCTTCCAGGTGCACTGGAGCAGCTCAGTGAGTCTGGGGTGCTGGCATCTGCCTCCCTGTTCCTGGCTGTCCTTGGTAGGCTATGGAGTTCTAAGCAAGCAGGTGGGCGCCACCAGTTCCAGAGGCCCCATGGCCTGGTGTAAGTGCCCTGCACACTTTCCCTTGAGTCCAGCTTATTTGGGACCCTCATAGCTTCCAGGTGCACTGGAGCAGCTCAGTGGGTCTGGGGCCCTGGCACCCACCTTCCTGTTCCCAGCTGTGCTTCGTGGACTGTGGTGTTCTAAGCAAGCAGGTAGGCGCTACCGGTTCCAGAGGTCCCGTGGCCTGGCGTAAGTGCCCCGCGCAGTTTCTTCCGAGTCCTTCTTGTTTGGGACCCTCTCTTGGCCCTGGCCAGGGAAGCTCGTGGCTTCTGGGTGCCCTGGAGCAACACAGCAGGTCCAGGGAGCTGGCATCAGCCTCCCTGGCTGTGCTTGGCCAACTGTGGAGTGCTAAGCAAGCAGTTGGGTGCCATTGGTTCCAGAGGCTGGTCTTGAGCTGGCCTATTCCACCTCCAGTGACTCTCTATCAATCCAGGGAACTGGGTGCCAGAGTCCCAGGAGCTGAGGGCATAGAAAAGGATTTCCAGCAGACCCTGAAGAAGCCTTAGAATAACACTTGAAACACTTGTAATCTAGAAATATAGGAAAATGACAAAACAAAAGACCAAATTACAATCTCAAACCTCCAGCCCATCCAAAGAAACATTAGGAGTGATGTATATGGAAGAAAATTATGCCATCCACCTCAAATATCAGACATAATAGCAACTGAAATAAATAAGCAATTCTGGGAAGCTTTAAAGGAATTCAAACTAGAAATAATCTCCCAGGTAAAAGAAGATAAAAGAAATGCTGAATATATCTAAAGAAGACACAGTTAAAAAATTGGAGGAACTAAACAAAAAGATAGAATCCCTAGATGAGCAATATAAGAAACAAACAGACTACATAAAGCAGATGCACAGAGATATAAAGGAAATCAAAAATTCCACTGAAAGCTATAAAAACCCCCTCAATGAAAGTGAAGATAGAATTTCAGACCTTGAAGACAATATTTCAGCTAGTGAACAGGAAAGGAAAGTTCTTTTAAAAATAACAAGGAATCAGGAAATAACAATTCAACAACTGCAAGATGATGCAAAAAAAAAACAACATAAGATTGATAGGGATTAATGAAAAAGAAGGGGATGACATCAAGGACATCAAGAGG